AAGAGAAAAAGAAAAGACATTCAAAATTTCAAGTGATTTGTATTTCTTAAAATTTAAGTACGAAATACAATCGTGACTATTGGATCAGCTCAGATTTAATCTGACCATTGGGCATACACTGTAGATGTTACCTAGTGGCCTAACATGATATATATGGGAGAAGATTCTGTTAGTGAAAAAAAATGGTTTTAAGAAAAATTGATTAAGAGATGGGGATGTTTTAAAAAGGAAATAATTTGATTGGGTTGCAGCTCTATCAACCTAAGTAAAGTCTCAACTCATAACTCATCGATATTTACAATTCAAGCATTGGAAAACTTTTACATGGATTATCTTGGCTTGAACATTATGGTTGTAAAAAGAAATTAGGATTTTAAGCTCTAAAAAATAATATATATTATAATAAATTATTTAGACCATACATTTCATCCTAAAAAAAGATGTCAATAGATCCACAAATTTTGTATCATTTTTTTTGTTTCTAATTTTATTGTCGGTAATGGAAATTGATTTTAGATCCATCATGGACATTTCCGTTACCAAAAGTGACTTTCCGAATAAGGATTTGAGGTGAAGCTTTATTTTGTTTTCATAAAATCCTTGGCCTTATAGAAACTTCATCTTTTTTAAAATATAAAAACATAGATTATGGCAGAAAATATAATCCCGATGCATTCAAGAAGCCTTTGATGTGAATGGACAATTTTAGCAATAATACTATTTATTGTGTAAATCCATTTCAGAGTGAGAGGCATCTTAGCACGATTCGCCATTAGCACCATTCGGGTCCGAGTCTGAGTCCAGCCGGACCCAACCCGTACCCATAGTCATAGGATATATGATTGCAATCATTTGTCGTTATGCATGCGTTAGATGTTCATATTGACACAATATTGACAATATTGTCCCAATATTGTCATAATATTGACGTACATTATTATTGTCACAGGGACCCAATAGGTCTGGGTATGGGTCTAAATTTTGGCCCGGATTACTAAACCCGGACCCGACTTCTTGTCACCCCTAACTGTGAAAGTAATGCGCACTTTAAAAACTCCTATGAAAATTGGTAAAAACCATGAAATATATAGATACGAAGGTCTTCAAGTTCTAAAAATAGTGCACCTTGTAACATATTATCTAAAACAGTCTATTTTTAAGATGTTCAAGTATTTATAGATCGCCTCTATCTTCACAAATAACTTTAAATTTCATACTTAGATGTCGAAATAGACTGTTTGGGCCATCAAAGTGAGTCCAAAATTACGTATTCTCAACTGATTTAGCGATGCGCCTTACTTCAACTATTTAAAGGTGAGAAATATACAAACAACACCCTCCTCCTCTGTTTACATAAACAAAAATGAAATAGATCTTTTATTAAAGGGTGTGGTTTGTATAAGGTTAAAGTTATAAATAATCAAAGTAAGGCACACCTTCATGTTGTTTCAGTATACAAAATCTTAGTAAAGGCTCTAAAATTTATTTTCATCACTAATTATAATATTGAAATATTCAAAAATAGTGTTGACCTAACAAATCTATGAACATTTGAAAATATCGAAAATTGACGGTCTAGTAATATGTTACAAAATGCACTACTTCTAAGACTTGAAATCTATTTTATCTCATGTCCATACATCTTCAGCTTGAGATGATACAATTGAGGATTGCTCAGCATCAAAGCAACCTCTTCGAGTGAATTTTCGAGGTGCACCTTAATTTGATTATTTAGAACCTTACCCTTATATAAACTTTTCCCTGTACAATAAGGTTGGAGCGACATATCGTTCTAAGGTTGCGAGGACCTTATTTGAAAGTACAAAATAATATAGTCCTCCAAGATTGCCCATGAATGTAAGCAAGGGAATAACGCAGTGGATTTGGCCACCTCCTTGAAAAATTTAGGCTTTTATTTATAATTAAATTTATAGAATTATACTATTGTAATAAGACATATTTTTAGGGAATACTATGTATACGCCACCATTTTAAGAATTATACTCATGGACTGTCATTGTATACAAATTATCCTCATTTTTTAGGTTCTCTTGATCTGAAAAATGAAACGAAATCTCATTTAAATTAATAAAATACTTTTTATAAATAGGAAAGGCATGGAAAGTAAAAGAAACTTTTAACATTTTTCTTTTATGAGGGGCAAATAGCTCCATTTGGCTCACTATAAAAAGGTGGAGAGCTAAACTCAAAAATAAAATATTTTAAGGTCTATTTTCTGAAAAGAAAGTTATCATGAGGCCTATTAAGAAAAAGGCTGTTGCACCCTGTTGATGTAGCCCTTGGAACTACCATCTCATGCACCTTCAAATTGCCATTTTATGGACTAGTATTTTAAAACCTCAATCGGTGGGGTAAATGGTCCACCTCAATCGGTGGGGTAAATGGTCCACCTCAATCGGTGGGGTAAATGCTCCACCACATAAATCTGTGATAGATAACTAGATCCGCAATCTAGAAAAATATTGAAAAATAAATATAAAAAAAGGGCAGAACTAAAGAAAAATTAGATAAGCATAAAAAGGGGAAAAAAAAAAATGTGAAATGAGGAATTTTATGTGGGGAACTGGCTATAACCGATACCTTTGCAAAACCAGTTCAGTCCCTGCTGATTCCCAGTCTGGATCAGCGATTCACAAGCTGGATCGCAGCACGTTAAAACATTTTTGCTGCTCATTTTCTGACATAATAATCAATAATCCATAGACGTGAGTCACTTAGACTATGCTTAAGTTATAAGGTAGCTTCTGCAGTTTGAAAACTAACCTAGCCTAAGAAGAGTACTGTTGTTGTAACTTTTTCTCAACATCAGCACTTTCTCAACATCTAGTATCTTTTTTCATTCCTTCTCCATGCCCATGATACATACAAAACTACTTGTTTGGCTCCAAATGAAAACGAATATGTATTTTTTCAGATTTGGATGCTCATTTGCTTGGTTTTGGATGGTCAGATCAAGTTTTTAAGATCTAGCTTATTATTTTTTTATTTTTCTAAAAAAATTTAAATCAAGAAAATCCTTCCTCCCTAGTGGCCTGGTCGTACAATAATAGTTCATTCTCGTCTTCATTTAAAAGAGAAAAATATGGTTATAATTTACCTTAAGCAAGACCGTGCCTTGAAAACTAAAATGAAAAGTTGTTTTTTTTTTTTTGGATATGTTAATGGTGGGAATTGATGGGGGACAATTGAAAGAAGTTCTTGAGAGACTCTTTGATACACCAAGATTACCAAAATGTGGTTTACGTCCATTCGTGATCTCTTATTCCATCTAATGGCCTTCATATTCTCTAAACCCAGTGGTGTTAGGTTCGGATTTTGTTCTATTCTTTCAAAGGTATAACCCGGTTGGCATCTTTGGACAGCATTAAATAAGACTCTACAGCCTTACTTTAAAAAAAAATAAGTTAAAACAAAAAATAACAAGCATTCCGAAGATCCTCAGTCCGATGGGCAATTTGGAAATGAATAACGACCTTTTGACCGAACCTTTACATATCTTACAACCCTACAATAGTGTAATTGTGCCACATGGTAACATTGTTGCCCATTGGGTTATTGTGTGTGAACAGGAGGAGAAGAAGTCGAATGACTCTAATGTTTACGGAAAAATGCATGAAAAAGTCGGGAGACAATTGCGTCCATGGCCCTCACACAAGCATGTCCCCTCTTGTTGCCAAAAAAAACATGGGCTAGTGCTCCCCATATGCCAATAGCATAACCCAAGGCAATGAAAGCATAGAACGCAGGTGTCATCTCCACCCACCCTTCATCTCCTTCATCTTCATCTTCATCTTCACCATCATTATCGCTCGATGCAGTTGGCACATTTGATGACAGAGTTGTCGAACACCTCTTTCCTTGTGTATTCAGGTTTGGGTTTCCACTAAAAGAACTCTCATTGAAAGTACAGAATTGTGTTGTGTCTGGTATTTCACCGGATAGATTATTATTTGCAACAGAAAAGATGGACAAATGGGTAAGTCATGTTAATTGAGAAGGAAATTCACCAGAGAGTGCATTCTAAGAAAGATTTAATATTGAGAGACCCAATAACCCTCCAAAGGATTTGGGAATTGGACCTGATAGAAGATTGTTGGAGAGATTCAACATGGCCAGTTCTTTTAAAAGACCCATGTCTAAAGGAGTAGGGCCACTTAATTTGTTCTCCGACAAATCCAAACCGGTCATGTTCTTAAGAGCATCCCCGAGATAACTATATGTATTTCCCTTTGTAAATTCCACCTTCCCTTGAGAGATTGTGTAAGGGCTAAATAAGAACAAAATTTGGAAGAAAAGGTAAAAAATGGATCAAAACGAAATGAAATGGAACCAATAAAGGATGCCTTTGTCCATGCAGAAAAAGTATTGAAGCAAGGAGGTACGGGACCTTCAAGGTTGTTTTGGGAAAAATCCAAGACGGCCAAACTTTTTACTTGACACAATTTGAGTGGAATATGATCGAAAAAATTTCCTCGTAAGATTAGCACTTTCAATTCCAAAAGCCCAAATAATTCAATTGGCATGGGAGCATATAATTTATTATTTGCAAGATTTAAAACAGTTAGAGATGGACTACACTGCAACAAGTTCCTCGGTATGGTTCCATTGAATGCATTGTTATCTAGATGGAGTGATACCAAATTTGGTAATTTGAAATGTTTGGATTGCAATGGTCCATTCAAGGAGTTCTTAGACAGGCTCAAAAACATGAGGTCATGTCCTCTGGTCAAACTGGGGGGTATTTCTCCAGTGATTTTGTTGTTTGATAAGTCCAAAATTATGAGGTTATAGGGGAAAATGGAAGGCAAATTTCCTGAGATATTGTTGCTAGACAAATCCAACATTCTCAATCGCTTAAAGCCAATAATGTAAAACATTAAGTCATCATTAAGGAAATTCTGGGACATTTTAAGTGATTGCAAATTAGGAAAATAACTAGAGAAATTTCTTGGGAAATTCCTACTGATTGGGTTGTTAGAGATATCTAAATTATTGAGGTTGTAAGATATGTTAGGCAAAAATTGTACTCCTGTGAGCAAATTCCCATCCAACAACAGTTCTCCAGTCTTTTCGAGTAACCACGAGGGGATATTCCCAACAATGTTGCTCTTTGAGAGATCAAGAGTGAATAACTGGTTTTGAGTCGATAGGAAGCCTGGAGAACTTAAGTCGAACCTTCACATGTCACACGATGACAACTTGTGACTATAAAGCTGGAAAGCAGGCGTAAAGTTGTTGTGGGAAATGGTTAGCTTAGGGTTTGCAGAGAGGTGGACATATTTGAGGCTAGAAACATTTGCAAAGACTGTGAAGGAGAAATCACCTGACAAGTCATTATCATTGAGAAGAAGACTACTCAAAGAGTAAAGCTTACCTAATTCGCGTGGGATAGAACCTTGCAGGTGGTTTTCACTAACCACAAGAATTTCAAGAGAGGAGAGGTTGGCAATAGAAAACGGTATGCTCCCTTCAAGTTTATTTTCGCCGTGGTCAAGCCATTCCAATGATAATAGGCTGCCAAGAGATTCCGGTATGCTACCGGAAAGTTGATTCCCATATAGTAGTAGATCATTGAGAAGGGACAAGTTTCCCAGAGTTGATGGTATGTTCCCTTAAAGTTCATTTTTGTCGAGCTCAAGCCGTTCCAATGATAATAGGCTGCCAAGAGATTCCGGTATGCTATCGGAAAGTTGATTCCCATATAGTTCTAGACCATTGAGACGGGACAAGTTACCCAGAGTTGATGGTATGCTCCCTTCAAGTTTATTTTCATGGGGGTCAAGCGATTCCAATGATAATAGGCTGCCAAGAGATTCCAGTATGCTACCTGAAAGTTGATTCCCATATAGTTGTAGAACATTGAGACGGGACAAGTTATTCAGAGTTGATGGTATGCTCCCTTCAAGTTTATTTTCGCCGATGTCAAGCCGTTCCAATGATAATAGGCTGCCAAGAGATTCCGGTATGCTACAGGAAAGTTGATTCCCATATAGTTGTAGAACATTGAGACGGGACAAGTTACCCAAAGTTGATGGTATGCGTCCTTGAAGCCGATTCCCATCTAGATAAAGCTTTTGAAGGGAAGAGAGCAAACCCACTTCCTCTAGAATTCTTCCATTGAGATCATTGTAAGACAAATCCAGCTCAACCAAAAATGTTAGGCCACCAATGGATGCCGGGATGGGTCCTTGATGGTGATTCCTTAGATCAAGTTTCTTAAGGGAAGAGAGCAAACCCACCTCCTCAGGAATTCCTCCACTAAATTCATTGGAAACCAAGATTAGCTCACTCAGGTTCTTTAGCTTTGAGAGCTCTGCAACCATAATAAAATAACCATGCGAAAATTTTGAGAGCTCAGTAATTGCTATCACCTATCACGAAACAACGATGAAGAGAATATGTATAAATCTGTCAACTGAACGAGACTCACCTTTTATGGGCAACACACCAGCAAAGAACCTCAGTTGCAAATGTTGCAGCTGGCTGAGTCTAGTTAAGGAAGAGGCATTCAGCATTACAGAGTCCATGCTCATGTTTGTGGCAGCATTTTTGACGTTCATGGCGATTGGAGGCTTCCCTTCCTTTGTGAAGGACATAAAGGGCGCTTTTTCAATACTATCTTTCCAAGGTATCGTATCTACTCTGAGACTCACACCATTAGATGTGCCTGGATGAGAAGAATGGATATTCCAAATTTTATGTGATTGAGATTTATAGAAAAATATTAAAATTATATTAAAACATGAAATCGTCATCATCAGATCAACCCATTTTTAATATGGGCCGTTGGATTTATATTATTACAGCAACCCATCCCAAAATAATATAAGGTTGGAACCACTACAAGAGGAACTGTGGCACTCCACTCCTTCCCACTCACAACAATTCAACCCCTTCCCTGAATCGATTTGGACCTTCAATGTAGCATTTGGGTTGGAATTAGAAGCTTTGAAATCTAAGAGGGCCACTCTTTCATTTTCTCTACAAAATGGGGAGCCCTCTAAGAAATCGAAAAAGCACATGACAGCAGTGAATGATAATATTGGGATAAGACGCGGAGGGTGGGGAAGAAGGGCTCCTTTTTTAGCTTCCATGGTGCTTCAATTGACTAAACAAGCACTGATGAAAATGCTTGCTACAAGCCCTCCTCGCGAGTCCCTTTTATAGGGGAGGCAAAATTTACGTGTGGACCAAAAAACTAGTTTCGGAGAATTAGAGAGCATTTCATATTTTTATTGTCAGGTCTAAAAGGTTTTCGATTTTTTTATTTAATTTATCTTTGTTTCTAAGGTTCAAAACTTCAAATTTAAAACCGATTTCTTTTCCCGTCTCCATGAAGAGATAAGTTGTCAAGACTTGGCTTTTTGATGACTTTTCTAACTTTTTTTTTTTTTTNTTTTTTTTTGACCATTACCAAAATTTGATGACTTTCAATAACTTTCTTTTTATGTATTTTTACCATTAACAAAACTTGCTGACTTTTAATGGCTTTCGTTTATCCTCCAAATTTGTTTGTGTCCACAAATAATATATTTGGGTCCACAAATAATATTAGGGGTGTGTTTTGTATAGTGTCGATGCTCTAAACAATCAAAGTAAAGCACACCTTCACGTAATGTCGAGAAATATATTTTCAATACTGTAAATCTTTGTAACAGCCTTAAAATCTATTTTTATCTTTAATTATAAAATTTAAAGTTTCAAAGATAACATGGATCGAACAGATCCATGAAAACTTGAAAATCTTGAAATTTGACGGTCCAAATATAGGTTACAAGATACACTATTTTCAAAACTAGAAATCCACTTTTTTCTAAGGTCCATGCATCTTGATGTCCAGATGATCAATTTGAGGATATTTGGACATCAAAACCAACTCTTCTAGTGAAATTTTTGAGGTAGATTCTAATTTGATTGTTTAGCACCTCAACTCTATAGAAACGTTTTTCTAATATTAGAGTAGAGTTGTAGATTAGTTGGAAAAATATGTAGTGCGCTTAACTTTAAACCTTCACACATCTAATTTCCGCCATCTACTCATGATTCCTATAATTAATCAACTCATTTTCATCTAGATCTCTGCATCATTAAATAAAAAATTTCATCTAAAGAAGAAAAATATATAATTTATTTGGGTAAAGTTTGTGCTCCCTAGAAAAATATATAATTTATTTGGTTAAAGTTTGTGCGCCCAAGAAAACAGCGGGGTTGTCAAATGAAACAAAGAAAAGAATGTACATTAAGAATTACCCGAAGATATCATTAAGGGGTCAAAACTCATCGCAAACATTAACGAGGCCAAAATGTCCCGATTTATTTCTTAGTTTTCATTTCACTCAGGTTTTTTCCTAATTATATATATATTAAAAATGCCCCAATTACTTATATATATATATAAAGCAAGGATTAGGCTACTAGCTCATGTGAATATATGAGCCCAACAGCCCAGATTGAATCTGGGCCGATTTGACGATCACGAATGTCTGATAGTATTTGAATTTAATTTTTTTTTTTACAAATCCAAATCACTTGAAATTTTAGGAGTGTATTCATAAAAAATAGTTGAATCTTTGAAAAATATCAAAAAAATATTTTACATTAAAATAAATTAT